TGTTTTCCAGGATCCATGTCTGCACCCCACGTGAGGACCCGCAGTTTGCAGCGAGAGCGCTGTTAACAGAAAGGGTGCACTTACTCGTGTCCTATAGTGAATAACTCCCCTCGAGTGCATGGGCACTGTCCCAACAGCAGTTAGGAAGAGAAGTGCAAACTCTGGGAGCCCCCAGACCAGCACGGTGACACGAAGGAAGTTGTTTGCCGAAACCCTAAGAAGCAGCTGGATGTGGCTGTCGTCATTTGGGAAGGCTCCGGGGAAGTCGCACTGATGCCTTTCGGGTGGCCGATCGGGTTTATACTTGCCCCAGCAGACGCATCGTAGTCCAGCCAGCGTTTGTCTGCAGAGCTCCTTGCCAGCTCTCGGTCTGCAGCCTGTCCACAGGTTTCCATTTTGCTTGCTCATCCCCTTTGATGTAACCGCAGCAGAGGGCTTTAGTCGTGCGGTTTGCCACCATGTCTCCGCTGCCATAACATTTAACGCTGCATGCTTCGGTCCCAAAATATGGGTGGCCGCTACTTGATTGAGAAAATTCATGCGATCCACCAAAGGCCAGCAACTCCTCGGGTGTTTTGCTCAGAAGAACAGCTATCCTTTTGATGCTGAGGACCTTTGCATATAGCGAGGTACCGGGCTGCCACCGGGAACGCTGTCAGTTGAGCGGAGCTGGTGAATGTAGTAATTGGAGGCAAAGAAATGACCCAACAGATTATAGTACTTTCCATCTGTAGCAAGCAGCCGTGTTGCACAGACCTGAAAATGGTTTTGCGTTCGGGATGGAGAGTTGTTTTCATGCTGGTGCCATTCAACCATCATCACAATCCCTTACTGGAGAGCATTTGAGACTGTGGTACATGCTACCAGGCTCTTGTGTTTTTAGTCCTGCTTTTCCTTCCACTTTTCAGGATTTGGCTTTATGATCAGCATGGCCACGTGCATCCTAGCGGCTGTGGGATGTTCAAGATGGTGAAGACAGTCCCAGAAGGGCCGTTTACACCATTAAAACGAGCGATGGCTACAACGTGCATAAGATCTGCACGGCTGACGATGAAGAAGAGATCGGATGAAGGTCCGGCTTGATTCGCATGCCTCTCGTGGCAGGTGTGCATGGGCATTTGGGTTCAGGCCCATCCCTGGAAAACCATCTTTGCCCGTTATGTGACCGAGCTCTTTCTTGAAGATTAGGACCAAATCTAGAGGAGGATTTTGGGATGAGACGAACAATGAGCAAAGACCTGTCTCGACAGGAGCCGGGTGGAGATGGGAGTTGAAAGGAGATGCTTGAAGGGAAAGACGGGAGAAAAGCATGAGGCAGTTCTTCATTTTTGAGATATTGTGATGATCCAAACGTTTTGGGGGAAAGACTGCACTTAGTTTTGGCCCTGTCCTCTCAAAACCGAGGAGGGAATGAGTGTTGCAGTAGTCATATCGTACATGGGGAAAAATCAAACGTGTTTGAAAATCCTGAATTTCTAGGATCCTCTGGTCTCCCCACCATCAACATTTTACACTGAAGAAAATGATACATGAGTGAGAGCCTCAGCTGAGATCAATCCTCTGTGCTTCATGAAAGTCATTGGAGTGATGCTAATTTATGCCATCTGAGGACTTGGCCTTTGAGAATTTGATTAATTTTATTATAATAAATGTATGGGAATTGTCAATGCTGCACTTGTTCCAAATGCACGATGGGGGTATTCAGAACTAGGAAAACATACCCCCAGATCCCTATTATTTGATCTCCTTGATTTAAAAAAAAAAAAAAAAAAAAAAAAAAAAAAAATCTCACGATTTCTTTGTCCCATGATTTTGTCAGTCCTGACTAATGCTTTTTTCCCCGCGTTTTAGGACCAGCACGTCTGATAAGCATGAAAGAGTTTGTGTTGTATCAAGTCTTCATCTTAACTGCTGCTAAATGTAATTTCCCCCAATATTTATATTAATTCTGTGCCATTACTTTTTATTTCTGGGCTACAGGAGCATGAAGATTTGTGCGCCATAATCTATGCAGGAAGGTTGAGTTGATATATTGGTTGCAAAGGAAGAAAAGCATGTGTGGCTCTTCCTGGGTAGCTTTAATTTTATCCATCTGGCTCAATCAAAGTGGTTGATTAAGTAAATTTCTTCAGTGGAGTCACACTGCCATAACTTGGCTCATTTTCTTCAAATGTTAAAGGAGTTATTGTACTAGGGGGAATCTAATTTTGTATTTTTCTGATTTGCCTTGTCATTGTCAGACAAGAGACAAAAGGTCTCCATGGGCGAATGCAGCGTGCACGCTAGCGCCGCACGAACAGTTGATTTTGCAGTTTTCTGGGTGATTAAAAAAAAGTTGTCGAGGGTTGACCTGGAATGAGATTTTCTTTTGTTTTGACAAAAGAATAAAATTTAACGTTGGGGCTAATGAAGTGTTTTGCTGGCGCACGACTGAAAGGTTGCATTTGCTTTTTATGTCGGGTTTTTTTTTAGTTCTTTATAAAGTTACGTTTTGGCAATTTTTCTGAACTGGCACGTTATTTGAATCAAACGTTTGAAACCTATTGCAAAAACGTCAAAAAAAAAAAAAAAAAAAAAAAGGGGCCTCCCCGCTCCCATTTTTCTGACTGAAATGATTCCCCAGATTTCACCGGAATTCATGAATTATTTTCTCGCACTCCAAAATTTTATATTTTTCAGCAAATGAACTACGAACCCCAAATTCACCCAATTTCGATGGGGTTTCCTCTGAAACGTGCTGCATTCATCCGTTTTGGATTTCCTCCCGTTGAAAGCGACGTCTATGGGATTTAAAGGTGACGTACAGACAAAAAAGCCTAAATTATATAAAGATGCACAGAGTTTTGAGGCTTGATCCAGACTTTTTTTCACAACTTTAACTTGAAATTCCACTGCCGAACTGTGCGGGAGCCTGGAGTCGGGTTTGTGGTTGTTTTGTACTAATCCAGAGACCTGTGCAAAGACCCATGAGATGTTTCATTCAATCTTTTAGCGAGTCCCTTTTTTGCAAACCCCTTGCCCCAAATTTGAACGGTTCACCCTACCCCAGACCCTGATGAGGCATGGCAGTTGTCAAGATAATAGGAGTATGTGGGGAGGACTTTTGAGCACTTAAAACAGCAAGCCAATGTCAGCCTGCGGTGGGTTAGCGCCTCGCTGTAACTCTGCAGTGGATCCATGGGTCTCGGCTAGGAGTCAGGACCCAGTTGCTCTAGGACGGTGCTCAGCAATGTTTCCCGGCAGTGGATGGTGTCGCCTAGCTCGGGTCCAAGGCAGGCTGGCTGCCGTGCGGGATGGGAAAGCTCTCCGTCCGTCCCCCAGTTGCCTGGCCATGGTGTGGGCAAAGCCCCTGCTGCTAAATGCCTCCAAGTCTTAGCTCTGTGGGCCAGATGCAATGGTGCCATGGGCTGGATCCAGCCTTCAGGCTTTATATTGCTGACCTGTGCTCTAGGAGAGAGAGATACCCAGCATTAAAGAGATGGACTTCTACCCTTGGTTGAACCAGAGCCTTGGGTCTAAACAACCTTGAATGTTAACAGGGCTCCAAAAGGCATAATTTTCACTTGGTAGAGTGCTTTTCATCCCAAAGCGGTTTGCAAGCTGCATTCAGTACGTCTAAAATACAGTCACTGCTAACGCGGTTCCTCGGCATGTGCTGGATGCCTGTGGCATGACACGCAGGGCCTGGGGACATTTCTTTGTCCCAGCACAATCCAGCCAGACATCCAAGTCAATGGAAGTTTTGGTATTGACTTCATTGATGCTAAGGGTCCCCTACTAGTTTAAACAAATGCAGTGCGCCAGCAAAGATTGAATTCAAAGCACAGAGGGTTGGAAACCGGCATTTATTTTCAACATAAATGAATCAAATTTAAAAACGGTTCATATCGGAAGCAAAAGCTGAACTTTCAGCATTTCTCGTGGAACAAAAATTGGAGCAATTCAGTTTGGAACCATTGGGTTGTTTAACGTTGATTAATGTAGAATCACTTTGGTTTGCTTTGATATTGGATTACAATGTAAGGCATGGCAAATATAACACTAAGATAAATATTTCAATATAATATACAAGTCGAAGCAAAGCTATTCAATATTATGAAACAAAATGATTCAATTTTGATCAAAATGAAGGAAGCAAACCGAAACAGCTCTCTCTCACTGACCATTTGGCCAAAGCCTTGTGCTCCCATGAATCATTCTGAGCTTGGCAAAACTGCATTTTCCAGTGAAAAGGTTTTTTTCTCTCCCCATCCTTCCCCCATCACCTGTGTTTTAAAGGCCTCCTCAGTGGTATATTTTAAAGACCCCAATGCATCTGGAAGACTAAAGCCTGGCATCACTCCATCAGGATTTGAACCCGTGCTTGGCAGGCAGCCTGCCTATTTCCAAGCCAGTGCTTTGGCAACTGGAGCCAAGCAAAGATGCTGTCAGCGGCTGGGGCCTCAAGGTCTGTAGATTTCTGCACAACTGCATCTCGGTTTATTAATAAAAGGCATTCGCTGCCCTTTCCATTCCACACACAGAGTGAAGCCTTTATGCTCTGCAGCTGAGGTCGATTGTTGCTCTCTGGCAGTTTATTACCTTGCTCCTGGACCAATAATTAACATCGTGCGTCTCAGGCTCTGAGGCTGGGAAGCAGAAAGGTGGGGGTTTTTCCTTCTCGCTTCTTCTCTTTTTTTTTTGCTGAAAGTACAAAAAGTTCTAATGATTTACCTCCTGGCACGGTGGGCTGAGGCTTGCAGGCAACCGCAAATCGGCCGCCGGACGAGAGTCCGTTTGGAGCAGGGCCATGGGGGCCAGGGTGCTGCCCGCCGCTGGTGTCGGAGGAATGCAGCAACTTTCCTCCAAGCTGGAGCCTTTCGGTGGGTCCAGCCAGGCACTTCAGTAAGGTGAGGAATGGACCTTGGGTACCGGATAGTGGCCTGTCTGTATGCACCATCCAGCCCCTCTAGCACAGATTCTCTGTTCTGCAGCACAGACCTTGTTGGACAGCAGTAGTGATGTGACCCGTGAGCTGTAGTCATGGTGGTGGTGGGCAGGCTAAGCCTAGGCATCCGCCTGAGCAATACCTTGCAGAGAAATTCAATCCAGGACATGGACGTGGGACCTGAGCTGACTATAGATGCTATAAGAGTGCCAGCATGTCCCTGGTTCAAGCTTTGATGGATTCAGCAGTTGTCTTCCAAGGGCCTGGCATGAAGACCTTAGGGTAGCCATCATAGGTGTTGTGGTTTTCTGCTACTCTGTCCTCTATTGATGCAAAACCCAACACCTTTATGTCCTTTATTTTTCTCTTCGAGAGAAAAATAGAGGACATAAGTATCTGGTTTTGTATCAATAGAGGACAACTGGGCTGTCCTCTATGATGGCCACCGTATGCGAAGTTAAGTCAACTTTGGGTGATGATCTTATGCCGCATGTACTAAGTGGGGAGTTAATGCATCAGTAGTTTTGTGGAGCTGGGCCTAAATGTCTTAGTTTAGGCCTATGGCCTGCTTTTTGCAGGGCAGGTCAAAGCTGTATCATAAGACTCTCTTGCATATAAGGGCTGTGCAAAGTTGTGTTCTCCGTCTCTGTCCTTGAGTGGGTCCTTGCACTCCTTGCATTCCTAGCCCCGTTTTAAACTGGGCATGTCTACACGTGCGCTTTAATGCGCAGTAGCCTATTTTACTGTGCATCAAAGCATCCTGCCTAATGCAGGGGGACTGGAGCCAATGATCTACAAGGTCCCCTCCAGCCCCTAGCAATCTATGAATCATATAAAAACCCATGCAATTACACTAATGCACAATAAAATAGGCTACTGTGCATTAAGCATCACTTAAAAACTGTGCACATTCATTATTGCGCTTTAAGGCAGCCTAATGCACATTTCTGTAGTACCTCCCATTGGAGATACTAACTTTAAGGCCCTTTTTCTAATGCACATTACTGCACATGTAGACGTGCCCACTGACATGAATCCAGGCCATAAGCGGCAGCCGCTTTAGGCCCTGTGACTCGTTGGGCTTGGTGAGCGCGGGTTAGCGACAGCTGGAAGTTTGCTGTGGGTTTGGCATGAAAGGCTCAACAGTGCGTCGTGAGACGTGAGTGTTCGCTGCATTCTGGCAGCGCTGAGCCCTGCAGCAGACAGGGCAACAGTTAATTAATGCTTGGCCATGCAGGTCTCCTGGGCAAAGCTGTTTGCTACCTGGGCTCTTGCAGCTGGAGGGAAGAAACAGAGAATGATTGAATTTTTCAACCTTTGCTAGGGAAAAAATAAAAATAAAACCCAACCCCCCAAACAGTGAGCACTGAGTGAAACCAGGATGGTTTAACAAGCAAGCGAGCTGCAATTCTGGCTGCACAGCATGAGAAAAAGCCAAGGTCTGTACAAGGCATCATACTGGGGTCTCTACCTCCCTTGGGAGATGAGTCAGATTGTCAGGACTTAATCTTGAGCTGGTGGCTCTTTCCAGAAATGAGAGAGGGCCTTTTTTTCCATGGCCACCTCCCTGGGTGAGAGCTGGCTCACATGACAGACGGGCAGTCTTCTCCTAGATCTGGCCATTTTCATGTTATTTTATGTATTTGTTTTGTGACTCCCACCTCCTTGCACCCCTCATTGCGATTCGGGGACCATGAGATACCTCCAGACCTTCCCTGAAGCCGCCTCTGTTTCTCTTGCCATCTGTGCAGCCCAGCAAGGACAACATCTGCCTGGCAGATGAAACCATCTGTGGAGCGCAGACCAGGAGGCAATATCGCGTCCTGTCTCCCGGCTCCATTTCTGGCCCAGCGTTTGATGCACAGATTGAAGCAGCCATTGGGTTACGTCTGCACCATTGCTCGGGGGTCCTGAGAGTGCCACCAGAAACCTGTCCTGTCCCAGCTAGTCACAGGGCCTAAAGCTGCAGCCGCTCGTGGCCTGGATTCGTGTCAGTGGGCACGTCTACATGTGCAGTAATATGCATTAGAAGCGAGGTGATATTTCTGCCCGGGGTTATATCCCTCCCTCTCTGCTAGCCTCTCTCAAGTGCTCCAGACTGAACTTGAGAGCAATAGTGAGGCACGTCCCCCAGGGTGACATTGCTGCCTCCTGTCCAGGCAGGGGGTTCATGGGAGGTGGGCTTAGTGTGCAAGTCAGTGGCCCTTTCCAGCATGGTACAGACATGCTGTTAGACGCTGAGGGCCCTGGTCTACTGGGTGCTGTGCAAACGTGCTACAAAGGACCAGAAGGGACCTGTAAGATCATCAAGTCCAGTCCCCTGCCAAGGGCAGGAGGTTTTTGGGCTCAAACGAGCTCAACAAGGTGCTTGTCCAGCCTCCTCTTGAACAACTCCAAGGATGGCGACTGCACCACCTCTTCTGGGAGTGTATTCCAGATTCTAGTTACCCTTATGGAAAAGAAGTTTTCCCTTCCGTCCAGCCTAAATTTGTCCTCAATTAGCTTGTGCCCATTGGTCTGCATCCTCCTGAGGGGCGCTTTCCTGAAAAGTTGCTCCCCTACATCTTAGTGCTCACCCCTGACGTACTTGTAGGTAAGTACAAGTCATCTCTAAGTCTTCTCTTACTCAGATGGAACAGACCCAGTTTCTGGAGTCTCTCCTCATAGGACCTACCCTCCATGCCCCTATCCAACACTTCCTCGAATGCCATAGGGGTGGCTCTTCTCTGCACCCTCTTGAGCTTGTCCATGTCCTTCCTGAAGTGCGGTGCCCAGAACTGGACACTAAGAGAATAGGGGTCTATTCCCAGCTCTGCCACTGACATATCCTATGACCTTGGGCAAGTTGCTTCATCTCTTTCTGTCCTTATTTCCCCTTTATTGCCCTCTGTCCATCTTGCTTGTCAAGTTTTAGAAGCAGCAGCCTAGCACAATAGAGCCTTGTTCTTAGTTGGGTCCTCTAAATGCTCCAGGAATAGAAATAATTCATATCAGTAGACGACCATCCATGCCCCTCCAAATATGAAGTTACAAATAACGCACAGGCTAGGATCCATTTGTAACAGCACTTGCAAATAACTAGCACCTTTTTAGGTATCCATGTTGTAG